TTCCAATTCTTAAGGCCCCTTCTTATAGAACCCGTAATAGTAACCCTTATTGACTTATAGTAGCCCTTACAGGACCCCTTTAAAGGAGCTTTTTCTAATTGTGAAGGCCCCTTTTGTTTTAGAGGCCGCCGATCAGCAGCCAGACCCTAGGGCTCAGGTTTGGATTTTACTGGCGGAGCCGCATGTCTAGGGGTTTGAGGGTTTTGGTGTTTGGAGGTTACGTGTTTTTTTCAAGGATTTTTAGGGTTGTTAAGGGTGTTTTTCTGTGTTTTTAAGAGTTTTTGGACGGCTTCTAGGGCTTTGTTAGGTTTTTGTTTATGGTTTTTAGGGGATTTTAGGTGGAGGGATTGGGGGGCTTCGGAAGACTCCTAACCTAGGGTAGCCCAGGCAGCCTTGGAATCCCAAATGCCTTGAACCGAGGAGGCTGGTCCACAGAACGCAAAATTCTCAAATCCTCTGCAAAACCGCGGCTTAGGGTTTAAGGGTTTAGGGTTTAAGGTTTAGGGTTTAGAGCTTTTGTTTGGCCTGCTGTGGCCCCTACAAATCCTTCTGAACCCCAGAGTCTGTTGAGACCTAGATGTGGCCCAACCCCTACCCCCGCCTGGTCGCACCCTAAAGCCCAGGATCACCGCCGCAGGCTTGAACGCGGAGTTTGCGCCGCAGCTCGACGCAGGTTATGGATTTCAGCCAATGGTGAGCACGGGCTGTCGTTTAGGGTTTAGGGGTTTAGGGTTTAGGGTTTAGGGTTTAGGGTGTAGTCATAACGATCATATGCACTAATGTTTGCACTAATTAACGATGTCACAGAGTAGTAAGCCTAACCAATAGGCATAGCCATAACGACATGAGTAGTACCCTGAGTATGGTTTCGAAGAGGTCGAAACCCCGGGCCCTAAGCCCTAACCCGCTTCAGGGCTTGAAGGTTCGGGGTTGTAAGGCCTAAGGCTACGTCGAGTCCAAGGGAATCAGGCACGAAACCAGGGTCGACGTTCAAGTCTGCTGTTCCAAAAGATCGTCATAGTAGAATACTGTTTTCTATGATGGAATGTGGGCCTTAAAGCATTCCCGCGACTCCGAAACGGAGATTTTTCGAAGCGCCAACTCCCGAACCCTCACCTCAAGCCGAAATCCCAAGGAGAGGGAGGGGTTTTGGGGATCAAGCATGTGGGGCGAGGGATCGAGAACTCTAAACCCTAAAAGTTTTGCCTTGGGGTACTTAGAAATAATTTTTAATCTTTGGCTGCTATAATCCCTAAGAAGCAGCTAAAATTATAATTTTTGCTAGGGGTCTAAGTTCAGTATGGAAGCCCTAAAGACCCTAAACCCTAAACCCTATCCCCTAGGAAGGACGCCGATTGGGGCGAGCGGTATTTCCACATACTGGATCCCATGGGGAACGAGCTGGCTTTTGCTGCGCCGCTGAAGCCGCTGGTAGTCTAGTGCTTAGGGTTCAGGTATCAATGACGTGTGCGGGTTTAGGGTTTAGGGTTTTAGGGTTTAGGGTTTAGGGTTCAGGGATTGGTCGGGTTTAGAGTATCAATGAAGGCTTAGCAGTCAATGAAGTAAGCATTAACCTTCTTCGTTTGGCGTAGTCACGGTGTAATTCAAGAGGTTAGGCTTTTACTAGCTGCCCACGCAAACAAGACGAGTAAGAGTGTTTCTCAGGGTTTGCGCTGTCGGATTTTTTGGTCTAGGGTGTCAGGTTTTGTCCGCTCAGACTCAGGTAGCTTGTGGTCTGGTGTCCGCAGTATCATGTTCCAACGTTGTTACCAAGACGTGTGTTTCCCTTAGTCTGTCCTGTAAAGAACCTGTTGGAGCTTCAAACCTTCAGCAGTCCATTCAGACGGTTCAGAAGCTCATAGAACAATAATATTAGTAGTAATAACAGTAATAATGGTAATAATAGTAATGGTAGCAATAATTGTAATAATGGAAATGTCGGTGTAATGGTATTGCGCTGGGGTTAGGTGGCATTTCGAGTGGCCTCGCTTGCGAGTACACGTAGCCACCATGACTAGAGTACTTTCGATGACCATAAACACCAAGACAACAATGCAGGGTTTTCAGGGACCCCACGCCCGGTAGAGTTTAGGTTAGTTCATGCTTATCACCTCGGAGTCTAGGGTTTTGGGTTTGGGTGTCGGGTCGCCAAAGGGCAGGCAGAGGAGAGGTGGCAGCAACACCAGCCGTGCAGCTGCTAAAAGTGGTCCCTGGTGCTTGGCTGTAGACCCTAAACCCTAAACTCTAAACCCCTAAACCCTAGACCCTAAACCCTTTAGAGGCTCGAATACAACCCGGAGCATGAAATATTCCAAGATAGGCCAGAAGTAGAAAGCTCCTCTTTAGGGTTTAGGGTTTAGGGGTTTAGGGTTTAGGGGTTCAGGATTTATGGGTTTGGGGTTTAGGGTTTAGGGCCACTCAGCCAGGGGGTGCACGAAAATCACGGATCAAGTCCCGAACCCACATCCTGAGGCCTAAGTTTGCAACTACACGACTCCGCTTCATCCCACGGTCCTGTTTAAGTAAGCAATCAGTCGTAGTAACATTGGCATATAGTATTCTGATTATGCTAGGGGTGGTTGTTATCATTAGGTTGTAAGTGCTGTCATTGATTACATCAAGTCGACTTCGTGCCAAGTCTCACTATATCACCCCTGAGGCCTAAACCCTAAACCCTGAACCCTAAAGCCCGACACTCTAACCTCACTAAGGCCTGGATCTTTCAAGCACAGACTCTGCATGTGGGGTGTTGGGCTCCAGGATTCACCGCGCAATAGGCCTCTTTAGTTGTTTTGAGGCAGCACTAGACAGGTCCCTTTCTCAGCTCTTGCAGGGGTTCAGTGGTTCCCTCACGTCGTACCAAAAGAGTTCGCAGCCATTCCCTAGAAGTGATTCGAAGGGCTTGGGAGGTGGGATGGAGATGCAGGTAATTAGTTTTGAGGGTTTAGGGCTTAGGGTTTAGGGTTCCACTTTCTTGGGTCCTTGAGTTAGAGGGCTGTAGGAATTAGGGTCCCAAACCCAGATACTGCATCAAAAACATAAATGCGCCCAAACCTACCAGGATCTTTCATGTACTCTTCACTAGCCCTTCTGGAACCTGCTCCCCGAACCGAAACCCTAAAACCCCATCCAAATTTCACCACAGCCCCTTTGGTTTAGGGTTTAGGGTTTAGGGTTTAGGGTTTAGGGTTTAGGGTTTAGGGTTTAGGGTTTCAGTCTTCCTAAAAGCCACACGGACTTCGAGGTCCCGGTGCCTTTACAGTTCGGGTGGAGCCTGTATCGGGGCCGCCTTCAATGGGTGCCCAACAGTCCACAACTGTCCTTCAAGAAGAATCTCGAAAAAATCCAGCAAAGAGAAGTACTGTCTGGTGCTTAGCAGGGAATGGGGGAATGGATCCCTATGATAGTCCCTTAAGGTCGCTTATAGTAGTCCCTATAACCCATTCTCCCATTCCCTACTAAGCACCAGACAGAATACGGCTGCATCCCTCCACACGCAAACCCCCAAAGTATCCGACATCATTAAACAGATGCTATACGACATTGTAAGCCTCCCTAAGCACCCCAATATTCAATGCTTCACCCGAGATTTAGACCTTATGCTAACCCGTAAATGAATCTAGGAACTTGATGAAGAGAAACTTGCCCTATGACTCCAAAATGCTAGTATCCATATAAAGGACGCCAATAAAGACCTGAGGCTTCTAGATCATGTTCCTGTATTAGTTCCACCCTAACCCTAAACCCAAAACTTTACATTAAGCCCAAAACCCTAAACCCTAAGGCAACCCCAAACCCAAAACTTTAAACCCAAAGCCCTAAACCCTAAAACAAAACCCTAAACTCTGCTTCCCGACATTAGAAGTGGCCGCGAGGACAACCCCGAAGACAGACGGTTGGTCACCCATTGCTCCCTGAAGGCAGGGCCGGGCTCATGCTCGGGGTTTAGGGTTTAGGGTTTTTTATAATAAGATCATGGTCAGGGCATTTATTATTATTTTTTTTTTCCGGGCGTCGAGGCTTTCTGAGCTGTTGTGAGGTCGTTCTGGCTTTCTTGTTGGGGCTATTGCTGCCTCCCTTTGTGATGATTCGGACTGTCAGGGTTTGGGGCTTAGGGCTTAGGCTTCTTGGAAGATGTTTGATTGTGTATGTTTGTATGCACGTGTGTAACTAAACATGGACGTGTGAATGTATGAATGTATGGATCCACAAATTGTACGAACGTGTGTAAAAGTGACGTGTACGTATGTATTTAAGCAAGTGAGTAAGTACGTAAGTAAGTAAGGAAGTAAGTATGTATGTATGTATGTATGTATGTATGTATGTATGTACGTATGTATGTATGTATGTATGTGTGTATGTATGTGCGTGTGAAGTATGTATGCATGTATGCATGTATGTATGTACGCACGTATGTATGTATGTATGTATGTATGTATGTATGTATGTATGTATGTATAATGTATGTATAGTGTATGTATGAATGTAGGTAGGTAGGTATGTATGTACGGAGGTGTGCATGTGTATGACATCACGTTCACCTTTGCACTAAAACACGCAAGTCTTCTTTTTAAAGCATCCCGATCCCGAATTGACAACTCAAACTCTAGATCCTACACACCCAAGGCCGAAGCTCGCAACCCGACCCAAAGCCCGAAGCCCACGACGCCCAAAACAAGCAGCAAACGTCCTTGAAACAAGAGGCGCCGGGATTGCAAAAACAACCCGGCCATAGCCCTACCCTGCAAACCAACGCGAGAAATCCTAAGCCCTAATCCCAACACAGCACTATAAACCTTGCGCTGTGACCCAGCTTGAGCTAGGTCACCCTGCAGTACTCTCAGAGCCTTTCGTGCTGGATTCTCCTTGTCAAGGAAGGTAAAACGTAAAAGCGGCACCCTTATTATGTTTAAGGGGCATTATTGTTAAGGGGACAATTGAGGAATCCAACATAAAACTTGTACAGCTCTTAATAAAGTTCTCGTACCACCCCTGGCCTATAAAGCCCGCCATAGAGAAGTCTTGAGCGCATCCGTACAAATCGTTGCATACTGAAATCCAGTATAAAGCCGATAAAGTGTGTGACACACTGATAAATCGAAAACCCTTATAGAACCACACATACCACTCAGCAAGCCCTTACAAAACCGAGTCCCTACCTCAAAGGGCCCTAAATCCCTGTAGGCTTGTAGTCCCTAAGCCCTAACGCTCTAGAATCCTATAGACCCCAAACCCGAAACCCTACACACCCTAAACCCGAAGCCCTATAGACACCAAACCCGAATCCCTACAGACTCTAGACCCTAAACATTATAGAACCCCGTAGACCTTAAACCCGAAACCCTATAGACCCTGGACCCGAGAGCCTTACTTCCAAAGGGCCTTTGCTTCGAAATTCGAAGCCCAGGCCGCAGACCTAGGACACGCAGCGCTTCCCTTTGACATGCACGAGCGCCCGGGGCCCACGTAGGCGAAAGCTTTGTTTTGCAGTCGGGTTTAGTTCAGGGTAGGTAGGGTTTAGGTTTAGGGTTTGTTTCTTGTTGGGTTTAGGGTTTATGGTGGGGTGTATAGGGATGATGCGAGTTCCGATTTGGTGTGTTTGTTGGGTTTGAGGCTTTATGTAGTTGTGTTCAAGGGTTCCAGGCCTTGAGGGCTTTGCTCAGAAATGTGGTGCTTTGCTGGTCTTCACTATGACCAAGCAGAGTCCGTAGGTCCTTAACATAAGTATATGAAGGCTACAATATACTGCAAGAAGCCTATTCCAACTACTCCGGCCCCTACATTAGACTCTTTTGAGGTTGCAGCTGCAAGCCATAGATCTCGTTTTGTCTAATCCGAGTGCTTTCGGGCTGGGTGAAGGTTTCAGGGTAAGCGTTTAGCGGTTAAGGCTTCGGGCGCTTAACCAAAAAAGCCTGCATCTCGAGTGTTTTCGTCTTTGGACTTCCTGATACGTATCCGGAAAAAGACAGGTTTTTGGCGGTTTAGGGGTTTGGGCTTTACGCTTCGGGGCTTTGATTTTAGGATATGGGGGTTTCAGAAAATAGGGGACCCTAATATAGTACCCTAAATAGTAGGATCCTTATTATAAGGACCCCCAAATAAGGTACCCTAATTTCGGAAACTCCCATATTGGTGTGGAGATTCGGGGTTAGGGCCACTTGGCCTGGGAATCCGAAAGCACGAAGATGCAGAGACCCTAAACCCTAAACCCTAAACTCCTAAACTCCTAAACTCCTAAACTCCTAAACTCCTAAACTTCTAAACTCCTAAACTCCTAAACCCCAAGCCCTAAAGCCTAAACTCCTAAACCTAAGCCCTAAACCGCAAAGGCTGGGCCTTTCGGTTGCTCAACGAATTCTACGAGCAGGCCGGCATGGCGTGCCGCGTACTGCTGTCTTATATACGGGGTTTTCACGGTGTTTCTACAGGGACTATGGTGT